GGCCATGTGTATTCAAAAGAAAACTGCTTTGTACATCTGTGGCCCTGTGTTATCAGATGTGTCCAGGTGTGTCCAGGTGTGTTCAGGTGTGTTCAGATGTGTTCAGATGTGTCCAGGTGTGTCCAGGTGTGTCCAGGTGTGTCCAGGTGTGTTCAGATGTGTCCAGGTGTGTCCAGGTGTGTTCAGGTGTGTTCAGATGTGTTCAGATGTGTCCAGGTGTGTCCAGGTGTGTCCAGGTGTGTCCAGGTGTGTCCAGGTGTGTCCAGGTGTGTTCAGGTGTGTCCTGGTGTGTTCAGGTGTGTCCAGATATGTCCAGGTGTGTCCAGGTGTGTCCAGGTGTGTTCAGGTGTGTCCAGGTGTGTCCAGGTGTTGTCATTGGACAATAAACCCACATAAATAGTTTCACTAAATTGGTAAATTAATTACATAAGAGTTTAATCTGTAAGTATTCCTGCCATAAAAAACAAAGAACATTTCATATTAAACAAAAACATTTGCTTTTGTAAAATAAAACAATACTTTATTAACGTTTTGTAAATTTGACTCTTACTCTGTTTTATTGCTGCTACATTGTGCGTCATACTTTGATTATATTCTATTCAACACTCACCAATTATCATATCAGTTCTTTCAATTTCTTGTAATACTGAGTGGTTTTGCTCTCTGTACTTTATAACGTTACATTATTATAGGTATAATAACTGACTTATTTCTGAAGGACAGAAATACCACTCTGAAATTGCTTCAGTATACTCACATCTCACTCTCCTGAGGATCTTTGCTGAGATGATTACAGAGATGCTAAGCTAACGTTAGCTTGATTTTGCTGTTTTGATTGGCTTGTTGATGTTCGCCTCCAACATTTTTACTTTGCAGACTCTCAGATAAACCCAACAGAAACTGTTCTTTGCTTCATAATAACTTTTTTATTGTACTTTGTCATTACTAATGACTATTATCATTAATAGTATAAAAACAAAGTCGCAGCATCAGGGCTGTTTTACTGTGAATACTGACGCTAATAAACCCAATATTATTTTATGCTTTATGCTTTTACATTTCTGCAAATCCATCCATAAATCATAATCAAGATCCAGGATGGACTCCAGATTGTGAAAGGCACTGCTGAATATCTATCATTTTAAAAACAGGCAAATATTTGTTTTAAAATAATGAGATTTTAGCAAACCTCTTTGTTTTACAGTTTGGTAAATCTAGAGAGGCAGTGTTGAATATCACTGTTTCCTGTTCCGCCCTGTGGAAACAGATTGGCTGCTGTTGCGTAGCAGTAGCTGTGTCATCATTCCCCTGGCTGGGCATCAGATCCTGCAGCGAAGGAGGCAGACCTGCTGGGATCACCTGCTGGGTTCCCTGCCTCTGCTTTTCTGCTTGCTCCAGTCTCCCTCCCTCTTCCTCGCGCCTATCGGCTCAATCTGTCACTGCCGTTTCTTTCATCTGCATTAATGCCCCTTCTTTCCCTCCGTCTCTGGCTGGCATCCCTCCATCGCTGCTTCCTTCCTCTCATTTCCAGCTCAGTCACATGTTAGAAGAGTGGAAGTCCATCTTCAGCACTTTGAGGTGAAACAACACGACTTGTTCCCAGAAGGTTTGTTTACGCTGTTTTCACCTTTATTTTTAATCAGTGTATGCAATCAGAATTGTCACACATACTACATTGTTTCTTTTACATCAGAAAATCTGAATAGTGTGGTGTGCATCTATATTTAGCCGTTTTGAGTCGCCTACCTTTCCCTGCAGCCTTCCACTTAATTATTTTCCATTCTTATTGCAGAATAGCTCAAGTTCAGTCAGATTTGATGGGAACCATTAATGAGCATCACTTTTCAAGTCATAGATTGTCAACTGGGTTGAGGTCTGGACTTTAACTAGGCCATTCTAACAATTGGATACTCTTGGATCAAAACCATTTAGTTGCAGCTCATTCAATAAAACATTTTGCATTTAATAAGGTTATATTAGTGTGATTCTATCGTGTTTGATGATCTAAAAAACAGACACTGAAAAAAGAGAACAGCTGATCCAACTTAAAGACAATTTAGTTAACTTCTTACAAGTAATTACATTAAGTTTATCCAAAAAAATAATGAAAAGTAAATTAAATAATATGTAACATAAAATAAGTAACTGCATACATATTCACCTCCTTTAAAGTGATTGACCTAATTTAATAGAGGTTCAACCAATTAGTGTTTGTAGTGGAATGGAAATCCCCCGAGTGCAGGGAGTGTGTCAGGTAGCAACTGTTGTAAACGATTGTTTTAGTAATCGAATAAAAAAAATTATTCAGTAGAATATTGGTAAGTACTGCCATAACCACAGTATTAATACTTGGTATCAATATCAGACCTGTTTTTCATATTTGTGCATCCCTAACAATTACATTTCTGTAGAAAATGTAACATCAGACACCAAACACATCATCGTTCTTTTTACTGGAGCTGATTCATATAATTTAACAAATAGCACAAATGTCAGGAACTGACTGCATTTACAGACAGAAAGTCACGTTTGTTTTCTTAAAATATCCCAGCAGGCAGTGTGTTCTCCTCCGCCAGTCGCTGACTGAGGTGACTGATCTGCTGGGTCAGAGTCTGCAGCACTCAGGCTGAGGCCTCTCAAAGCCCAATCACTCAAGCCTGTAGTGTCAGCAGAATGACGGATACGTAGAGCTGCTCCACCATCATCATGTTTAGACAGCCACGATACGCTATGCACCATCTGATGCTGTGTGTGCGTGCAAAATGGTCGACGACATGTATGTGTTGTAGACAGGAAGTAGATGCATCAGTCACAAAGGACGCATGAAGGATGACTGGCTGTCTGCTGGCATGTTCCAAAACGGGAAACTGTCAGATTCCCCAATTGATTGCTCGTCCAAACATCCAGCTTATAATCACACAGAGGTTTAGTCAAGCTGCAGACCTGATCATTCAACCCAGTTTTATGATCCATTTATGCAAATTGAATATGGAAGAGATGCTTTCTAAAATGTGGGAGATCACTTGAAATCAATAATAACTGATGAAGATAATGACACACACAGCTTCGCTTTGTTCCTCGGAGCTCAGTGGAAGTGAACGTCTGTCAGATCCAGACTTCACAAAGACTCCCTGATTCATTTTGTCAGTTAACAAAAGGCAGTTTTATTTCTATGGCAGCTTTCATAGAAAAGGCAAATCAGAATAAAGGTTAAGAAATGACACTAAGAACAAAATCTGCATTTAAAGTCCAGGTGGGATTCTTTGATCAAGTTAATTACAGGGTCTTTAATTTATTAATCACATTTTAATCAAAATAAGCTATATTTTCAATTTAGAAACCTTTCATGTTGCTAAAATTATTGAATAAACACACAAATAAAATAATCAGAAATATTTATTGTTTTTAATCTCTTATTTTTTATCTAACTGTCATATTGGTGCAAAGTTTAGCTTAGTGTTTCAGGAAGTCCTGATCATTCATGGAACTGCTTTAGAAATGTAGACGCTAGCATTAGCATTAGCATTGGAGACACTGGTGTTGCTGCTACATGTTAAGCATTGAGATGCTGTTTCAGGTTTGAATTGTTTCGCTGATAGGCTAACTCCTTTTAGCATAGCATGAACACAACAATAGCACTGTCCAATCAGATTGTTTCTGTTTTCTTTAAGTTCTTGAACTGTTTCTAAAACCAGCAGAAACCAGAATGGAAGAACAAAAAACTGCATAAAGGGGATTTTCCATAGTAGGTCATTTAAGTCTGTTTCCATAAAAACTGTTAGTTTTCTGGCATGTTTCTCAGTGAAAAACATGCACATTTTACACTATATTTCATTTTAGGCAATATGTCAGGTGCAGGACGTTAAAATAACTCCATAAAAAACAACCTGTGGGCAGCGTGTCAAGGCTGCAGGACGTGGACGTCAACACTGTAGGCTGCTTGACGTCTCAGACTTTATCAGTGATGGAAACATGGAAGGAAGAGGATATTTGAAGACATTTCACATTCAGCTAAATAGTAACAAAAAGTTCAAAAGCAACAAAAAAAACAAAGATTTTTCCAAAGTGTGCTGATGTGTGACTAGGCAGAAACATTGAAATTCAGCGCGGTCAGTCAGTCAGACTGTCAACATGTCCTCCCGTCTCGTAGTTTGCACTCAGGACACGATAACGTCAGGCCCAACATCCTTCTCTGACCCGTCCTGTATGTTCTTCACAAGCGGAGCGAGGCGGGTTGCCAGGAGCTTTTAGGGCTGCAGGAATGAACCGTCTCGCCGGGTCTTGTTTTCTTTCCCTCCAGCAGCATTCAGCAGCTCCCCATCACATTCGCTCAGACAACCTCCCATTACCATCCGATTCCAATCTAACATCTCCTTTCATTCACAGTAAAAGGGCATCCAGAAGCGGGTAATTATTTTCCGCACTCTCCTCTCTCAGCTCAGAGCCCAAACAGGAGTGATTAGAGTCAGCTCATCTCTGAACATGCAAAGGTCCTGCTCTTTCTCTGTGGTTCCTGTACAAACAGCACAAAGATGCTGCAGCTCTGGCTTCGCCTCAGCAGGAGGTCGAGAGCGACAGGCGTTCTTCTGGACCTGCAGACACTACAGGTCCGACCAGAACTTCAGATCCAAGATTATTTCCAGATGCTCTCCTCTTTAAATTATGGATCCTGTTTGTAAAGTTACTCAGTTAAAACATCAACAGCAGGATTTTGGTTTATTTAGTCTGTAATAGATGAAAAAAAAATGTGGGTGTTCATTTGTCAAAATCAGAGTTTGACCATGTTGTGTGTAGTTAGAAACTAAATATTTCATTCACAAGTTAAATATTTAGTTTACAAATTAAGTAATTTGTTTATAAATTAAGTAATTCGTTTACAAATTAAAAATTCAGTTTGGAAGCTAAATATTTACTTTTCAAACTAAATATTTGGCTCCAAATTAAATATTTATTTTTTCAAACTAAATATTTAATATTTCACTTAAATATTTAGTTTTTATATCACATATTTAGTTAAGAATTTAAATATTTTGCAACTAAATATTTAAATAGGAATAGATAGGAACCTAAATATTTAGTTGTCAAACAAAATATTTTGTTTACCAACCAACTATAATTTGGAGCTAAACATTTAGCTGCAAATTATATATTTTTTTGTAAACTAAATATTTAGTTCCAAATTAAATATTTAATTTTCAAACCAAACATTTTATTACCAAACCAAATATTTTGCTGTTTTTTATAGAGCTTGCATTAAATGCTGTTCTTTCTCGTTTGGTCTCCATAAAATGTCAAACTTAACCGTAAACACGCCTCCACTGTAGCTTTACCTGTTGCACTTTTGACATAAAGTCGCTGATTGAACATAAATCTCCAGAAATATTCCAGGCTGAGCTTTGCTGTTTCTGCTGAACCGGCTCCTCTCAGACAGTTTTACCTCGGCAGGAGAACCGGGTCACATCAGCCGAGCACAGGAAGGCCCGCCACTGAAGGAACAAGGTGCTAACCATTAGCGAATTTACGTCAGCAGAGGTCATAGGTCAGCGCGGTCAGGCAGACCACCCAGCTGGTCATCAAGGACGAAGAGCAGGGAGGACAGGAGGCTGGATATTCTACTGAGACGACAAGCTTTAAGGTTCCTCATTGAAAATGTGAGTCTTTATCTGACCCTGTGAGGCTTCCATAGAAGCCCGTCCACCTCGGGGAGAAGCGTTCTTGAAAAGCGAAGCCTGATTGTTGTCCTTGTGTTGTTGATGACAGCGACCCATCAGAACCAGCGGCGGCAGCACCGCAGGCGCACATCCAGCTTCAGACTTTCAACAAGCGGCGCTCGCCTTATTTGGGTCATCGTGACATGATGGAGTAATTGGTTTGTGCAGATCACTCCATGTATTTGACAAGCTGCCCCATTTACTGTCTGAGTGCTGCAGTCAAGATGCTTATAAATCTTTCACTGACTTGATTAATTGTCTGAAGAGAGCTTCTTTAGCAGATAAATAAATAATAAGAGAAGGGATGATTTCTGTTGTTTAGTCAGCGGGTTGACCTGCCAAGAGGTCAACTCCTAAAAATATACGAGCCGGTCTGCAGAGGAGACGTTTGGTTGTGAGCAGAAGAATTAACACCGCTTATGAACATCTGGCCACGTTACAGATGTGGATGTATTTTATTAGAACTTTGTATGACAGAGAAACACAAAATAGCAAAAAGGTTTTTAGTGCTTTTTTACGATGTACATTTGAATTCAGCCCCTTTATTCTGATTCCCCTAAATCAGGGCAAGTGCAAATTATTATCTTCAGAAGACGTTTCATTAGTGAAACTCTAATATAATCAGTTGACTACCAGTAAAACTGAGACCAGACCAGAGCTGCTTAAAGAAAACCATAAAACATGCAGAAATCAGTGACAAGCACACACCACCCCTCTGGAAGCATGGCCAGCAGGGGGCAGAGGTGCATGTTAGTGTGTCTGTTTTTGTTTTGTTTTGTTTTTTTGTGGCTTTATCGCTTCTCCAGTCCTCTCTTAATGACATCAGAGAAGAGACAGGCAGAGCATACCAAGCAGGAAGACTCTCCTCCCTCATACTGTGTCTCCTTGGGTAGAACAGCTCAATATTAGGTGTTCTGTTTGGCCTGGCTGGGTTTTAATAAAAGCTGACAAGGATTTATCACCTGTTCATGGCTCTGTGTGCTGCCACTTTGTGAGATGGAGGCTGCGCTGGCGGAGACGGGAGCCCTGGCATGCAGCAGTCATATTCACCTCATATTAATGTGTTTGCAGCTGAACTTGCCTAGAGGAAGAAGCAACCAGGCCGGCTGATGAAATGAATACATTAAGGAGAAGGCCATCGCTTTCCTTCAGTCGTTTGTCTGTGAACATCCTTCAAAAATCCGCGCTGATTGAGATGCATTCAATATCTATGCATATTGCTGCAGCTCATCATGTGCTGTAATGACAAGGATAAAAACTCAGCTTTAAAAGCCATTACAACCAGATATTCACATGCACTGTACAAAACTGTGGCCGAGTAAACTGTCTTCATCCCCCAAACCATCAAATTAAGCAAAACTTCTGTCAAGCGTTTGCACTGGTTTGTGCAACAAATTTTCTTTTGTGCCTTTATCATTTTAAAGATATTACTAAATATTTCTAGAGGTCATCAAAGGTCAACGAGCCTGTCCACATTTACAAAGTCAAACAAAATATTCAAGTTCAATTCAATTCAAAAATATTTTATTAATCCGAAAAGGAAATTAAATGTTGCTGTAAGTCATTAATTCAGATTCTTCAAAGAGTTTTTGTAGATGCTGATGGCTGTTGATGTTAACCCGCTCTCTGTGTGGACTACGCTATGCACAGACCCGTTGCCATAGCAACTAAATGACAACAGCTCCACTAGTGTATCAGGATTCAACACCAAAAAACACTCAAACATTTCCCACACAAAGAACAGAACATTCAGTCCATTACAGTTTTATGTTTTTAGGCTTTATACTTAAAACATATAAGTATTCACTTATCAATAATCACAGGTAGATTAGCTGCCGCTGCTATTAGCTAAGCTAACACACCAGTGGTTGATTAGCTAATTTAAACACCTGCTCTGCTGATGATCTGTCAGAGTTTGTGTTTAGGATGCCTTTTTTTTAACTGAATTGAAACTCACCGAATTCCACATCCCATCTACATGTTACAGTTTTCAAAGTCAAGCTAGCATAACTGAGCTACTTCCCTCTCCCTCGCTATTGTTTTTCAAATTAAACATCTTCACTGACTTGTGAATTGTGATAACCTTGGACCTTGTCATCTAGTTGTTGACAATCAGTACTAAAGCACTGAGTCACTTTTTATTTTATTATTCCTACATTTAAGACTTAGCGCGTTATGTTGACAGCTAAAACCAATGTGAGCGTTTAGACTATCCTAACCTGTTCAAGGAAGCATAACAGGTCATCTTTAAAATGAAACACATTTTCAGTAAAGACAGAAGCAGAAGCACCTGTGGATATGTAGGACAGGTGTATAAATACGTCTGAATCTGCCCTCTGAAAGTGTCTGTCTCACATGGAAACACCCTCTGGAGGGGTTTCATTATCCTCTTTCCATCCCCTCCACCTCCGCCTCCCTCCTATTTTTCATCATTCGCTCCCTCCTCCAGCTCCATCATACCTCTCTCCACTCCACTGCTGTTCTCCTCACCAAGCATCCCCATCGAGGACTTCCTCTGCACAGTTGCTAGGTGATGGGACCCTGATTAACGAAGGAGCAAGTGGGGAAGAAAAGCAGGGAGTCTACGTGTGTGTGTGTGTGTGTGTGTGTGTGTGTGCGTCTGTTTCTCGGCAGTTATCGCTAATTGACAGCTGCCGGCCCTCAGGGCTGTATTCTAACCCCGCGCCCCCTGTATAATCGGAGGGCAGGGCTCTGTCGCCTGCCTCCCCCCCCCCAGGAGAGCGGGGCGGTTTGGGGAGGAGGAGGGGGCCGCGCTCCGTTGGCTCCGGCCTCATACGTTGGGCCAACATGCTGTAAGAGTTGTTTGGATAAGCAAAACGATGTGGCAGGGGAAGGAGGGGGGCGGAGGAGGTGAGAGGTTGGAAATGAGATGGTGAGGGAGAGATGGGGGTCGGGGGGGATCAAAAAGGGCAACGAGGGGCGAGAATGGAGAGACTGAGGGAGGAGGAAGAGAATATGGCGGAGTGAGACAGAGGGAGAGGGCACGTCTGGGGAAGCAGTCCCGGCTCTCCCTCCATGCCAGCCGGCTCGCCGAACACCATCTGGAAGTATTCTCAACGTTGGCCAACCCGCCGCTCTCCAAGTAGGACAATGTGATTATTCACCCCCCCTCCCCCTCCTCCTTTTGCAATATAACTCAAATTAAAATGAGATTATTGTGATCAGATTTCAGGCTCTGAGGCTGATAATGAGTTAGGGGCACATGTGATTGTGGCTGTATATGAGGTCTGTGCAATATACACAGCAAATGTTTGCCAACTTTGGTTTCGAGCTTGCTTTAGTCTGGAAAGGCTTTTAAATATTTGCTCGGGGCGCTTTGAGTCAAAATATATAAAAAAAAGAAGAAAAAAAAACTGTCAAAGCCAGAAATGAAATCTTTCAAACTACTCTAATAAGAAGCCATCAGTGATGATTAAACAAAGTCTTTCATAAAATAAGTATTTAACATTTATTCAGTAACACTATAATTATTCTCTTATCACATTGTTGAAGGCTGACTGAAATAAGTAGCAGTTTTTTTCATTATTCTGTGGTTATTACAAAGAGGCAGCATAAATCAAACAGCAGATGTCTTATGTGCAGAGCAAATTTTAAATGAGTTTCTTCCTCTTCAGAGGAAAGCAATTAAAGGGACTCTTGCCTTGTCAAATATTAACTGCACTTAAAATGTATAGTGTGATGCGGAGAGTGCAGTACATCCTCACATATCTGAAATAATTAGCACAAAGCTATTAATTCATGTGTTCCAGTCTCATCATAACCTCTCTGATGGAAGCACCCCAGACAGCCGCAGCCTAATTGATACGCAAAGAAATTATTTATGCTGAAGCCTCAAACTCAGTTTATGACTCTTATTTTTAATCCTTGCATTTCATGCAGAAGAAGAATTACAATTAAAATTACTTATTATTTTTACAGGAAGCATAACTGAGTTATTCTGCAGGGCGCGTTTGTCTGATGACAGAGCCGGATAATCATCTAAATATGACTGTAATTATTTAAAAGTGAGGAAAAGGATTATTGTGATGCAGCTGCAGCTGCAGCCCGGCTGTCACATGCAGCCTGCCTCCACGGCTGACATTGCCAAGCAATCAATAGATCTGCAGCACAGTGAATGCATCTAGCCTGATTATAATGAAGATAGTCGGTCATTTAAAATGCTAATGGACAATTTCACCTAATAAGAGACATTCAGCCCAGCACTTCATTAAAATTCAGAGGTGGAAAAGTCTATTCCAATTAGGTTTCTGCCCCTTTCCGCCAGCGCCAAAGCCATTAGGATTTTTAAGAAATGTCAAAATGTCTCATCTTGCGATCTTAGCGCTGCGTTCAGGTCCGAAGCGTTGGGTTAAAGTGTGGCAGGAACAAAAGCAGCATTCAGGAACATTAGCAGCATATGACCTCATCCACCATGTTTCAGTCTCACATCCTGCCTCTGCTCTCTCCATTTGTTTGTTCATTCTTTAATTCTGTCCTTTAAAAAGCCATTTCAGATATTACGTCTCATTAATGTACTTAGTTTGCAGGTGGAGGCTGTTTGTTTAACTGCAAAGCCTTTAAGGTGGAAATGATGAAGCCCAATAAACATCTCCACATTCACAGTATTTATATTCGGTGCATTCTGTTTTATTCTCATGCAGATGCTCCTTCAGTCAGTTTTAACATGTTGAAATGAGGGTTTGATAAAAATGAAACATTTCATTCAGCTGCAGAGACAGAGACTGTTTTGGCTGCTGCAGCTTCCTGGGTGTCCTTCAACCGTCTTTTCTACTTATGTTTCAGTTTATTTTAAGTCATGATATGGTTTGTGTGGTAAAGTATTTTCATATGTAATGTTTGAAGCAGTGGATTTGAATTTTGTGTTTAATTTAATTTAAATAAATGTATGTCTTTTTAGGAATGTTTGTAAATGATTCCATGAAGTTTGGAC